AATGATATTGGAAGTCTCACAAGTTGTGAAACACTCGATAATGGCAATTAGGTGCTCCAATAAGGCTATAACTCAACTTTAGCAGATATTTGTAAGCATCATAGAGTAATAGATTGAATGCGGCAGCCATTTGTTTCTCGGCCCATCCCTACAGTGTACTTAGTAATATACAGTGTTACACTTAATAATGCTGCATATAGACCAAAATACGCTTCGTACGTGGGAGGTTGAGGATTCAATCCTGTCCATATCCGTTTTTTTTTATTTTGCTAAAGAATATTTCAGTAGTCAAATAACTCTAACACATGAATTGCATATGAGGCACGAATTTATCCCCTAGTATAGATTAGTTATAGCAGATATCTCATCATCCCCGTAGATTAAGCTACTAACAACTTTGTTTTCATTTGTAAAAAGTTTTATAACTTTTATGTATAGAACTAGGATTGCAGTTGAACGCATTAAAACCTTTGGACAACAATGTTTATAAATAACTTGGAACCAACATATAAGGTATCCTAAATAAACACATTTCATTTTTATCAGACATTGGTGTACATTCTGTTAACTCAAACAATGCTATACATACGTTATTTTAGATTCCCATATTATATAAAACACCAAACAAATACAGGTTTATTACCGTGGCGAGTGTTATGAAGTTATGTGTATGGAACATCAATTGGGATTGTGAGAAGTGAAAAATCGACCGGATTTTGGTCAGTCGAGAGAGGGATCGGGGAATTACAGCACTCGAAGTCATTAAAAAGTTATTGGAGTGAGCAGCCGTTTTTTCTTCTCAGCAGGTATGGAGATTATGGGACTCCTTTGATTATCATATATTGTGAAGCTTTACTGATAAGTTACAAGCTTAATGCAATTTTTGTACTTTAACCAAGGCTTTTCACTTTGGTTCTCTCCTGAAGACGGACTGACACAGTCCGAAATATGTTTATAATCTCAGGCTCGAGATCAGTTTTCTCTGTTCGGCTAGTAACACATTAGTAGACCTTTAAAGTAATACACTGCAAGCGGATTTACAAATAAAACAGGTATGCAAGGTCAGAAAGAAAGTGATCGGTTCGGCGTGAGTTTGAGAAAGGAATATAAAAGTCAGAAGTTCATCGGAAAAGAAAAAAGACCAGGAGATGTCAGAGAGAACAAATATACCGAAAGAGGTGAAGGAAAAAGTAATATGCTGCCAGTAAGAAATAAAATCTAATTCTATATCTGTCTGTTATTTATTATAATAATAAACAGCAATTTGTTATGTTTACATTGATAAGTCAATTCTTGATAGGAATAAGTATAACCTAAGTATGATTGATGAACATAAGAATGGAAGTGAAATGAACATATAATGGTGTCAAGGAAATTTATAGCAATGAGAAATGCTACAAATAAGGAATTTCCAATTCTGATAGGTTATGCTCTGAAGTACCTCAAAGAACATTTAAAGGGATACTGTACTGCTATAAAAGAGAGAACCAGTATTAATCCATTCATTATCATCGGTAATACCATCGAATGTAAAAAGATAATATAAAGGTTTAGATGCTATACCAATAAAAACATTTGAGTTCAGTAACCTTTACAGTGGTCTTCATATTTACAAAACTAAAAGGTTTTTCATCAGCAATGTGATGGCCATTTAGTAATTCAGATAAATTACTACTTTGCATCTGTAGAACCGAACTTTTTGTGACAATGTCAGTCACAAAAGTTAACACTTTATCACATTAAATGAATTATTTTTAACTTGATAATACATTTGTACATTGTGGCCAGTATGTTTTCCAACAGATGTAAGGTTTCCAATTGTAGATAAATTCAGTCTGTAAGTTGCAGATTTGTATTTATACGGAAAATTTAAATACATTACAAACCTTAATAAGAAAAACTATATTAAAGTTTTATCAATCAGTCGTGTTTGTATATATATATATGATATTCTTATACCGAATTATAGGCTTTCTAGACACAGCCATACAAATTTATCCACCACCAAAGCTTACTTTAGAAAAAAACTCTTCCACTAAAAACAAAGTACAATATCTGAATTTAGATATCAGCATCATTAATCAAACCTTTTAGCTTAAAGTTTGTAATTATATGAGCACTTTCAACTTGCGTTTTATTGACTCAGTTCTGTGAGATATTCAACAATATTATTGCTACAGGTTACGGGTTTAAAAGTTTAACAGAGTGTCACGACCTTTCAAAACTTTCACATATACACTTTAATTCCTTGAGATATTGTTTAGGGTAATAGTGAACAGCTTTAGTGTATTGACAACCATTGGTTTTAGCTCCCGTTAATCTTAGTTATTATTACATGTAGTTAATATTAGCTATATACCAGTTCTGCATATAGTATGACATTGTGTCATTAGTTTAGTTACATCAACTTTTATGATTATTTTCTTTGTCATAGTAATCCCTCTCGTATCTTTTCTTAATATTAATTATTATTTTTGTAGTACTTTGTTCTTCCTAGAGATTATCGTATTTCGGCTTTTACAGAATACTTAATAATATTCAAAATCTATAAGATACTGTGACTGTTCGAAAATTTTATAAATATTTTAATTTCTTCATCAAGAGCCGTGGAGTGACATACTCTATAAGCTCTTTATACATTGAACTTTAAAATCTCCGAAGGTTACTTTAAGTTGAACCGCTTTCCAACGGCTTGTGACCTGAAGCAACTTTGAACTTCCAACTATAAAGTTATCTAATTAATCTTTGTGTGGAGTAGGGGCGAAGGAAAATTATTATATTTCAGAGCAGCCTAGATCTTCTACTTTTTCACAAGCAATATTTGAACTGACGAGGACACGTGAAAGTGTCGAAACTTATTTCTGTATAAACTTTTGTTCTGTAATAGTGGATCTCAGCTTCGTTTTAGATAACTTTAAATAGTGTTGTGTATGTATCTACTATTGATCAAGTTATCATTGTGAAATTGTTAATTCTGATCAAACAACTAAAAAATCTATCTTCCAATAGAACTTGAATTATCGAGTATTTCATTTTGTAATTTATCTAATTTTGATCCCATGTTGTTGTTTTTTTTTTGTCATGATATTTCCTTGACCTTTAGTAAAACATTGAAAATTGCTTAAACTTACAAAAGCGGACCAACGAGGAATACACTGATCAAGAAATTGTTAGCAAAGCTATTAATAAGACGCATTTGATACATTGTTTCATGGTATTTTATTAAATGAAACGAATAACTATGGCATGAGGGAGCCGACCTTGAAATGGTTTAAACGTTATTTGGAAAACATATATATATATATATATATATGGTGCTAACAATTAGAAATATTATTAGGAAACAGACTGGCGTTTAATGGTGTCTCGCACGGTTCTATATTTGTTTTTTGTTTATTTATTTATATTAAGAAAGTTATTCATACTTTTCTGAAAGATATAAATATACTTAATAAATGATTTGTTGTAAATAATATTTAGTTGAATAGCTGAAAATATAAATTAATTTGTTTCCGTGTCTCAAATTTATATTATTACGAGAGAATTACGGCAGTAACAATGATAAATCATAACTGTAACAGTCATCAATAAACACTAAAGAGAATACGCTGTAGTTAATGGAGAATCTTTATCTAATACTTAAGTGAACTTCAGCATACTAAACTTTCGTGATTTACATATCAGATGTCCAAAGCTGCTAATTAATAAAATAATAAGAGCACTTTATCTAAAAGGTTTAGTCGTTCAACCTTGCATAACTTTTCAAGGGCTAATACTCCCTAATTGATAGGATAGAGGGAAGGCAGAGTTATTTGGTTTGGTTTCCGCGCAAAGCTACACGTGGGCTATCTGCGCTAGCCGGCCATAATTTAGCAGTGATACCCTAGATGGAAGGCAACTAGTCAACACCACCCACCGCGAACTATTGGTCTACTCTTTTACCAACGAATAGTGAGATTGACCGTCACATTATAACGCCCCCACGGCTGAAAGGGCGAGCATGTTCGGAGTGACGGGGATTCGAATCTGCGATTCGCAGATTGCGAGCCGCGTGCTCTAACCACCAGGCCATGCCAGGCCTCTAAAGTGTGTGCATGTTCGATGACAAGAATTTGAACCCGCGACTCGCTCATTGCGAAACATTATCTGTTTGTTTTAGAGCAAAACCACATTAGGCGATTTGCTGTGTCAACTGGGGGAATCAAACCCCAAATGTGAGCGTTGTAAGTCTGTAAACTTACCATTGTCCCGGGAAGGCAGCTAGGCAACTCTACTCGTGCACTACCTTCATCGAGTTGTTAGTTTTGGCCGTCACAGTTGTATAGTTAATGCAATGTTATTTTGTTTTCATCCGCCGTTTGATTCGATTTGACAAAAGCTGGATACATTAAACGTAATATTTGATTGTTTGTTTTAGTGCAAAGATAGACAACAGGCTATCAATGTTCTGTCCACCACGGGGAATCGAGTCTCAGATTTTAATATTAAATCCGTAAACTTAACATTGATTTTAATACTTGATGAATGAAAATAGATCTATGGCACAGTATTTGTAAGTGTCTGTGATGATACAATATATATTAATATCTAGTAGCATAGTTTAAAACGTTGATACTTTATAGAAATCATACTGGGGAAAAGATCAGTCAAACGTTGAGAAGTTATTGAAAAGTTTGAATCCAAAATCTATATAAATAAACATCAATGTGTGTATGTGTATCTGTTCCTTATACATTTCTACGTTTCTTGATCAAGCAGCATTAAATTTGACAGATTGATACAAGGTGACATGAAGAAAGTCATGGGATGGTTGGTCATATCTAATCTCGGGGAAACTGCCAATGTTGTATATCCCTCAGCAATAAAATCAGTTATGTAACCACTATTGTTAGAATTCTTAAAAACAGTATGTCTTTCATTTCAATATTGGTACCTTTATATATTTTATTGCACTTTTAATGTTTACTATGTTAAGAAAAAAATAGAAGCACAATTTCCTATCCTTTATTACAAAAGAGTTTTTATTTCACCCGTCCAACGGACATAAACTCCACCTAGTTAGAAATTAAAATGGAAGGCTTAAGGCATTATAAAAATATGATAGTTTGCTGTGCATTAAGTGAGATCTATCTTAACAATGATATAAGAAAACGATAGGAATTTATCTTGGAAATTGTAAAAAAACAGTTGTTAAGTTTCAATGAAACCAACTTCAATGAAAGATCGTGTTTTTTAACAAATTCATTGATTTTAACAAATACGAAACAAAAAAGTTCGCAGAAAAAACAGAGTGATTTGTTAGAATGCAGAAGAAATACTAGAATTAAGACTACACTAATGCCAACGTTGTTGATTGTCTACCTCCTAAAAGGTCTCGTTGTCCAACTTCTTTTTACCAGTAGCTGTGACTGAAAAATAAAAGAATCGTTTACTATGTTGTTTTTAATAATGCTTTCTTGTTTTTAAGTCGTTGCAACATTTTCCGAGTTTGTAATAAACCACTGTTACATGTATAGAATTAAAACATAACGTTCACATACAGCAACGTGTATCAAGAAAGTATTATAATGGATTTCTGTTACTGATGTGTAGTAATTCAAAGCAAAGTAAGAGTTTAAAAGTTTTGAGACGGCTTGAATGGGTAAAGAAAAAAACTTTATTATAGATGTACAATGTTTCGACAAGATTATATCATAATCAGGTAATCTTCTCGAAACGTTGTATATTTATAATAAAGTTTTCTTCATTATCCATTCAAGCCATCTCCAAATTTTATTTTCTAAAAATTTGGTGTTTCGTCATCATATTCAGAAGTAAAGCTTATTTAGTTAACATTGGGCAGATTTATTAAGTATTTTAAATATATTTTTAGATTTAACTCTTGTAAGTATATGCCTAAATATACGTGAATTATTTCATACTATTTAATGTCTAAGTCTCCTCTGTAATTATTCTTGATATCATAGCTTTTCAAAAGCCCAAAAAGGTATTCACCCTTCATATTTAAAATGTTTTAACAGTTAAAACTTGGAACCCTTCCCTTTTACAAACATCAGTACCTTTGGTTTTTGACAACACGAGAATAAGAAAATTTGTTAAATCAAAGGTTAAGTGTACTTACTGCCGGCGGAAATTATTTCCATAATACCTGCTACCGTATCCACCTCCGTATCCACCTCCATATCCACCCCCATATCCACCACCATATCTACCACCATATCCGCCACCATATCTACCACCATATCTACTACCATATCCGCCAAACCCTCCCCAGCTATGGACTTCTACTGCACTCAACATCAACAGGAGGGCTGACAGTCCAATCAGCAAAACAAACTTAGTATTCATGTTTAGAAGATCTGAAAAAAAGAAAACTAAAGTAAATAAATTTATATAGGGAAACAATTTTTCGCTGTGCTGCCTAATATTTGGTAGGTAACCTTTACATTGGAAATCCTTAATTTCTTTCAAAGTTTATCTTGTGGTAAATAGATACCACTGCTAAAACATTAACCTTAGAGTGCACATTAAAAATGAGGAGGTAAGAATATAAGGCTCAACTATATAATAAAAACTAAAACATAATAGCTAACATGTTTTGCACCTCCTTAGATCACACATTTTAAACTTTTAAAACATCTTACCGTATAATATCAGACAAATTTCAAGATGTTTGGGTTAGATGTGTTTCTCTTCTGAATTTGAACTGTTTTTATACCGAAAAAGGTGTTTATTTTGTGGTTTGTAATTCCCCGCTGGATAAGGTAAAAAACCCAGGCCCTAAGGAACGGAAGAAAAAGTAACCCAAATTATCTTTATTATTCTCAAGGTCAACCCTGTTATAAGAAAGCTTTGCCTCATCTATTGATTCTATACAATCATCGCAGGAAATCCGTTCAAAAATACATATATATTTGAACATAACGCACACTCAGCAAACATGTTTTTACACTTGTGTTGTTGAGAGAAAGAAACAAAAAATGGCTTATTGACTTTTGTATCAACTGAATTGTTATTAGATAATGAAGAAACAGTTAGCGGTACATATAGTTATAACAATAAAGAACTGATCATCATGTATTTTAAGTATCGCACTTTAAACTTTGCTTATTCAGCACAGTTTTGATTTCATAATTAATAACCTTTAATTCCTGGTAAAAAGTTGTTAATAATTTTCTTCTTAGATAAAGGTTCTTCTCAAAACCGAAAAAACTTCTATTCTATCAATACATTATCGATATCAATGTCTAATAGTTCTGATCAGTATGAAGTATTAAGACTTATCATAAATGCTTGTATATGTTATTGATAAATTACTATCGTACACTGTGTCATAATTATCATTGAATATCAATAAATGACAATTAGATGTACACTACATGTTTGATAACTACACGTAACAGTAGGGAAGGTATCAAACACCAATATTATATTGTAATGTTGAAATATATATTCACTCTAAAAGCTTAAATTCATGGCATCAACAATACCTAAGGTCCGGACTTTCATAACATTGAGCAGTGTTAATAATAAACATTTCGTAACAATAATTACTCATTGGTTAACAGTCAATCTACGACTTCAATGTAGCTTAGTCATCATCTCTCTTACCGTTGAACATTGCAAGCAGACTTGCCATGGCCTGATTGGTTAGGGCACTCAAATCGCAATCTGGGCTCGCGAGTTTGAATCTCGTCATCGAACATTCTTGCCCTTTCATTCGTGAGGACGTTATAAAGTTACGGATAATTCCACTTTTCGTTAGTAAAATAGCAGCCCAAGAGTTGGCTGTGGGTGGTGTGGATTAACTAGCTACCTTCTCTCTATTCTATCATTTCTACATTACGGACGGCTAGTACAAATAGCCTTCTAGTAGCTTCGCGCGAAATTCTAAAAATAATCAAGACATTGCAAGTAGGTAATGATTATAAGTTGTTGTTTTTAATGTAACTGATGATTTGTACTTGAACGTATGTCCTAAGGGAGAATTATCTTATCAAATTGAACAATTATTTTTTATATTTACTTGAAATATTTTTGTATATTTTTACTTCCATGGGCGGGATTTTGTTAGATTAAGGGATTACTGTTTGCTTGTCACGTGTGCAACGATTGGCTAAATGTCCAGAGGCTCTTAGGGTTATGGTATAACCGTCCATAATTTTGAATTGCAGACAAGAGGGACTTACCGAATGATCAAACTCACTTTCACTCTTATAACGCACCCACAAATAAAAGTGCACATTGTATTTGTAACACCTCGTCCCAACCCTATCTCGGATACCCAGTCCATTACACTAACTACCGCCACGCTCGGGAGTCAGATAATTATTTTTTAGGTTTATAAATGTTTTTATTTCTTGCTTCGTTTGAACAAACACTGTATTTTATGCTAGCAAGTAGCATAAAAAATCACATATAAAGGCTATGTAAACAAAGGATATGGCAGATATATTGTAGTTGGCAAAGTATTAATATTCATTTTCACTCATAAGTTATTAGAATCTACTAATTTTAACGCTCAGAAAGAATACGGTGGCACCAAAAGTATGGAAGAGTCACAATGACTTCAGTGTTGAACTCTATTGCTCAGCACATAACTCAACTTTCTAAATTATAATGCATGGTCATAAAAGTGTGGGTTTATTTTCAGCTATTTTATAGAGCTATAAAGAGGTTTCTATGGATATTAAATGTGTCTGTCTCTCCATGAAAAACTTATATCTAATGTCCGTTCTAATATCTGTTTGACAATTAAGTACACGTGACGTTTCACGATATTCTTACTATAAAGATAATCCACCAGACGCGTGTGTCTGTTTGTGTTAGCATCCATCACCCAGAGATGGTTTGCTCGATTATTCTAATTTTAGGTACAGTAATTGGAGACTATATTCAAGGTGTACAGGATTATTCTTTTTAGGATTTTTGCCAAGAAGAGGGATAAAAAAGCCCTTGAAATAGGGCAAATTTCCAATTTTTAAAGACTTTTGGCTTCCATCGCCCAGAGTTGGTTTGCTCGGTTACCGTAATTTTTGGTAAGGTAACTAGAAACTATTTAGCAGTATAGACAGGCTATTTTGTTTTAGGATTTTTCCCGGAAAGGGGATAAAAAAACACCCTGAATTAAGGGACATTTCCATTTTATTATACACTTTTAGCTTTGAATTTAAAGACACCAGTTAAATGAGACAGATGCGATCTTCCACAAATCGGGGCATGTAATTACCATCTAATGTGGTCAATATGGATTTTATAACAAATGAAAAAAAGAAAGGGAACATTACCTAACATTGGCCTTTCTTAAATCATTGCTTCCTTAACGGGTACCCCCAGCCTATGTATATAAATGTTTCTCTCGATACTGAAGTTTAAATGCTTTTCATATACCAATTACTATTTTTAAACTTTCTCAAGGTGGAAAATAACTAAGGTTGTTCTATTATACTGTGCTTCTTTAGATTGCTGTACATCTGTAGACTTGTTCTTTTACTTGTTATTTCGTGATAATGAGCACAGTTATTGCAAGTAATTTTTTAACAGTAAATGGAACAAACTGTTAGAAGTTTTACCATAAGAGAAACTCGTTTCGACACATTCATGTCCTAAGTTTTCTTCAGAGACTAAAGAGGACGCACGAATACGTCGAAATCAGCTTCTCCGATATCAACATTTATGATAGTTTGTTCCGTTTACTGTGCTTTGTTTTGTTTTTCTCTAACTCCTACACACGATATTGTGTTATTTTATGATTATGTTCTTAATTTACTAAAAAACGTACGACATTTGCCTAGAACAACTGTACGCTTTGTTCAGCGTTACCAGAATTAATCACACAAGGAGGTTTTATAACATACCTGTTTAATCAGTTATCGCAAAACATAATCTTAAATGAAAACAATTTTAGGTGATTCTAAAAAGAAGAGACAGAAAGAGAGAAAACAACAAATATTTTGACCTAGAAAAATAAGGGGAAATTTAGCCACCTTTCAGGAACCTGTGGGACCTCAGGCAATTCAGTGTGACAGCTTTTCAAGCCCTGTAGAAAAATAAGATCAATCTCTTTTTATCTTTTGCTTTGATTGTTTCCTTTTTCTCCTTGTTGGTCACATTTAATATCTAAAAAAACGTCTTCAGTATTACACATTAGAGATAAAACTAAAACCACAGCCCATCTACATGATTGTATAGGATTTTGAGTTAGGGAAATTCCAGAGGTCCTGTTTAGTGGAATGTCTGGATAGGAAAAGATAACTTACTTTGGAGTCCATTTTTCGATTTCTTAGAAGTAAGTTTACCTTCTTCCTTGTACACATAGTTTTATTTGTTTGAAAAAGGTTTCCGATAATTTTAAAGGTGTTTTTATAGGCAGTTTTATTTCATATATGAATATCTTGTTTATAGTTTTATGTTTTAGCCTTAATATTTACTTATTTGTGTTTACTTATAAAAATATTTTCTGGTAAAAAGTCAAATAATACAAGAGAAACAAAGGAAGTACATAGCTATATTATAAAGTAAAAATAAATTTTGTATGAGTAATAACTTTAGGTTCTTTCTTAGGAGATACATAGCATAAATTACAAAATGACCTCCTATACTATAGCATGTCGATATTATTTAGAGTTCTGGGTTTTACGCAGTCGAGGCTACCTTGCATAATAACCTCACTCTGGGGAAACATATAACATTATAAAGTAAAAAATATATAATTTGTGTACATAATAACCTGTTCATAACACTACTTGAGATTCATTCTTAGGATATACATAACATAAATTACAAAACGATTTTCTATACTCCACCATGTTGATTTTATTTTGCGTTCTGGGTTTTCGGCAGTCGAGGCTCTCTTGCACTATAGCCTCCCACCGGGAAACACATAGATATACTATAGAGTAAAAGATATATTTTGTGTTGATAATAACTTCTCCATAACACTACTTGAGATTCTTCCTTATGAAATAGATAAAATGAAAACAAAACAACCACGTGTATTCTAATCTCTTTATTATATTTCGAGATTTTGATATTACATAATCTAGTTCTATGTAGTCATTCGTTACTTAACTTGATATTGGAAAACTTTTACTTGTGGAACCTGATCGAAAGATTAAAGATATTTATATAGTTTGTTATGAAACCTGATCAATCTATAAGCCTCTGCCATTAAAATATAAAGATAATTGCACAGTTATGTTATCCGACATTGTTGATATTCATATATAATCACAAATTGGTAGACACCACATCTATATATAAATATATCTGAGTTAGCAGCGTAGTATATTAATTTTACTTACAAATAAATAAACATGTTTATTAGTTAAATTTATGCTATAATACACAATAAGGTAAAACTAACTATTTTATTCTCATTTCCTTCACTTTAATCCAGTAGACCCTCTTTACAATTGTCACATAACCAGTTACCTTTATGACCCATTCTTACTACTACACAGTGTTTATGATACAATAATTTACACGATTTTAACAACCCACTGTGTAATCTAATAACTTCTCCTGCAACCTCTGGAAGCATACACTTACAAATTAATGTTATTGAGCCATCAATTGTGATCTAATATGTATCTTATAGCCCGGCATGGCCAGATGGATAAGGCGCTCGACTCGCAATCTGAGGGTTGCGGGTTCGAA